GACAGAGTCTCGCTGTGTCGCCCAGGCTAGAGTGTGGTGGCATGATCTCTGCTCACTGCAAACTCCGCCTCCCGGGTTCACGCCATTCTCCTGCCTTAGCCTCCCAAGTAGCTGGGACTACAGGCGCCCGCCACCACGCCCAGCTAATTTTTTGTATGTTTAGTAGAGACAGGGTTTCACCATGTTAGCCAGGATGGTCTCGATCTTCTGACCTTGTGGTCCGCCCGCCTTGGCCTCCCAAATGACTGGGATTACAGGCATGAGCCACTGCACCCAGCCTTTACATGTGCTTTCAAACGCATATCAGTACATCGCTTTCTAGGAGTTATACTGATTATGCCACTCTTGGTATAATATGTGAGTGTTGTATAAAGCAGCAGTTTCACTACCACTGTATCTCTGTTGGAGTATATAGGTGTTTTGGGGATTTGGGTGGGGGGAAGACTTGATATTAAAAGGCAAGTTGAAGCAGCAGTACAAGAAATTCGTGTCTATCCTTCACCCAGTTTCACTCGTTAATATTTTTCATATAACTTTGCAACTAAGAGATTAACGTGGGCACTTTTCTGTTCAGTAAACTCCAGACTAGATTGAATTTCATCAGTTTTTGCACTAATGTCCCTTTCCTGTTGCAGGGTTCATTCCTGGATTCCATATTGCATTAGAGGTCACACAGATTTTAAAGCTTTTTTGCTTTTTAAAAATAGGCTTTATTTATTAGAGCAGTTTTAGGGTCACAGCAAAATGGAGCAGAAAGAATAGAGAGTTCCCACATACCCCAGGCCCTCATGTGCACACAGACCCCCAAGCTTTTTTATTTTACTTACATGAGTGCACTATGAATATGTTCGTCATGTAGAGGGTCAATCAAGTCAGCAATGTGTTAAGAATAAAAAAGGAAAAACCCTTTTCCCCCATCACCTTCCGACTTTCCTTTCTCAGATGTAACCACTGTTAGCAGCTGCCAGGGGGGTCTCCTTTCAGCACTGTCACTGTATATACTTTTACATAGACATTCATACAGTTGTTTTATTATTTTTTGCGTGAGTTCATCCCATACATTATTGCAAATTACTTTTTTTAAACTTAATTTGTCTTAGAAATCATTGTGCATGAATACTTTTCACATTGTCTTTGAGAATCTCTAGAAGACATGCCTATAAGACAATGCCTTTCAGCTCTTAACAGGATGAAGTAAGTTTGTCCTTAGATTCCAGCCAGGAGAGCTAGCTGAGAAAGTGCAGTAAGTGGAAGAAAAAGACAACCACAGATTAGTGTGTTTTGGTCCCATTTTCATTCAAAGACACTTTCTCTGTATGTGTCGCTATATGCATAGAAGAAAGCCAGTTTGGACACCAAACTCTTAACAATATATTATCTTTAGGGGATGTGATTGTGGGGAGATTTTACCATTTCACAAAGTTTGACTTAAAAAGAGAATATGTTGCAGGTAGTGACTATCTAGGGCTGGTGGTGCAGATGATAAGGGAATTTGCCAAGACAATTGTAGGTAAAGAAAGGCAGATTTATTGGAGGAAGTATGAAAATATGTTGCAAGATTGCAACAGGCAGCACAGCCGAGAAGGGGCTGTCTGCAAAGAGGCAAGGGCTGGTGGGAGGTTTTATAGGGTGGTGCTGGAGGAGGGGCTATGAGGTTGTTATGTCCTGGGGTTGTTTGTGATTAGTCATCTCTTAAAGCAGTTGTTCATTGTTCTTTCCCACCTGGGGCCGTCCGCCTCCTGGGGCCCCTTTCTCATTATTACTTACTGTGGAGTCAGGACTCCACAGAATATTATATCTTTGAGACAACAAAAGTAAAAGATCAGCAGAGTCCTGGATAAGTACCCTAAACACATCACTGCCTTTATTTTATGTTCTCTCCTGAGAACTTCCAGAAGCTTCCAGAGCTGGTTTCCCCATGAAGATCAGGCTGCTCTGCTTCCCCCGACAGGTACAGAGTGAGATCCCAGGCTCGCCCATCTTTCTCATGAAGCTGGCCCAGCACGCCCGTCACCTGGAAGTTCAGATCCTCGCCGACCAGTATGGGAATGCTGTGTCTCTGTTTGGTCGCGACTGCTCCATCCAGCGGCGGCATCAGAAGATTGTTGAGGAAGCACCGGCCACCATCGCCCCGCTGGCCATATTCGAGTTCATGGAGCAGGTACACTTCTTAGAGCCCAGGGGTCAGCTTCAGAGAGAGCCGTCTCAGCTCAGAGTCAGGAAGAACGTTCTACAGTCAGTGTGGCCGGATGGTGGCATGGGTGCCTAACAGGAGGGAGGAGGGCCCATTCCAGAGGTGATTTCAGCATCATACAGGTTTATTGGATTAGCCGGTCTGTGAACTCCCCAAATATTTCTTTTCTTTTTTGAGACAGAGTCTCACTGTATTGCCCAGGCTGGAGTGCAGTGGTGCGATGATAGTTCACATCAGCCTGTAACTCCTGGGCTCAAGTGATCCTCCCACCTCAGCCTCCCGAGTAGCTGGGACTACAGGAATATGTCGCCATGTCTGGCTAATTTAAAAAAAATTGTTTTTTGTAGAGACAGAGTCTTGCTATGTTGCCCAGGCTGGCCTTGAACTCGTGGCCTCAAGTGATCCTCCCGTCTTGGCCTCCTTAAGTTCTAGGGTGACAGGCATGAGCCACCACACCTGGCCAGTCCCAAAATATTTCACACATAGCAGGTGCTGAGTCTGCATTTGGTGAAGGAACTGATAGTCACCATTTACAGTTCCCTGAAAAGACCTCTGGAACGCCCTTGGCCTCTTTCTGTTTCTTCACAGTGTGCCGTCCGCCTGGCCAAGACCGTGGGCTATGTGAGTGCAGGGACAGTGGAATACCTCTACAGCCAGGACGGCAGCTTCCACTTCTTGGAGCTGAATCCTCGCTTGCAGGTGGAACATCCCTGCACGGAAATGATCGCTGACGTCAATCTGCCGGCTGCCCAGCTACAGGTGAGAAAACGGGCTTAGGGCCTTGGGACTTCTCCGCCCTGGGTCGGTGGTCCATGTGCTGCTCCCATTAGTCCATCGCGCCCATCTCTTGGCTGACTGTCCCAGGGGAATGACTGGCCAAAGAGCACTTTGAGAAATCTGTAAAAGCTACAGTTCTCCCTGGGAAAATATCTTTTATACAATTTCAGGCATCCATAGACCTAGAGAAATGTTTCTTAACCTTTTTATCATTATCACTCCCTGCAAAGATCCTTTGGACACATTTTATATCCTAATCCCTGTCTTGTGAAATTTTAATATCACAGATATACCACATATCTGTTTGGATATTGTAGATGTATCTGTGCTTTATTCATGAAAAGAGTGAGTTTTTTCACTCCCAAGAACAAATATTTGTCTCTTCAGAGGCAGTATCACCCCTGTTAAGATTATGTGACCCAGAGTTATAAACTCTTGGGTTAAAGGGAACTCTAAATTTTTTTTTTATTTTTAATTTTTATGGGTATATAGTAAGTCTATATATTTACAGGGTGCAAGAGATTTTTGTTTTTGTTTTTGTTTTTGTTCTTTTGAGATGGAGTCTTGCTCTGTCGCCCAGGCTAGAGTGCAATGGCACAATCTCAGCTCACTGCAGCCTCCGCCTCCCAGGCATGCAATGTGTAATAATCACATCAGAGTAAATGGGTATCCATCCCCCTCCAGCATTTATCCTTTCTTTGTGTTATGGTGTTATGAATATTCCAATTATACTCTTTTAATTTTAAAATGTACAATAAATTATTGTTGACTGTAGTCACCCTGTTGTGCTATATCAAATACTAGGCCGTATTCATTCTGTTAATCACTACATTTTTGCGCCCATTAACCATCCTCGTCTTCCATGCCCCTCTCTCTTCCTTTCCAGCCTCTGGTAGCCATCATTCTACTCTCTGTGTCTGTGAGTTCCGTTGTTTTAATTTTTAGCTCCCACAAATGAGTGAGAACATGCAAAGTTTGTTTTTCTGTGCCTGGCTCATTTCATTTAACATAATGTTCTCCAGTTCCATCTGTGTTGTTGCAAATGATGGTCTCATTCTTTTTTCATGTCTGAATAGTATTCCATTGTGTGAAGGTACCACATTATCTTTTTTCTTTCTTTCTTGTTTTTGAGATGGAGTCTCGCTCTGTTGCCCAGGCTGGAGTGTAGTGGTGCGATCTCAGCTCCCTGCAACCTCCACCTCCTGTGTTCAAGCAATTATCCTGCGTCAGCCTCCCTAGTAGTTGGGATTACAGGTGCACACCACCATGCCCAGCTAATTTTTGCATTTTTGGTAGAGATGGGGTTTCACCATATTGGCCAGGCTGGTCTCAAATTCCTGACCTCAGATGATCCACCCACCTCAGCCTCCCAAAGTGCTGGGATTACAGGCATGAGCCACTGTGCCCAGCCTGTACCACATTTTCTTTATCCAATCATCTGTTGATGGACATTTAGGTTGATTCCAAATCTTGGCTATTGTGAGTAGTGCTACAATAAACATAGGAGTACCGATATCTCTTCAATATACTGATTTCCTTTCTTTTCAGTATATATTTAGCAGTAGGATTGCTAGATTGTTTGATAGTTCTACTTCTGGTTTTTTTTATTATTATTATACTTTAAGTTCTAGGTTACATGTGCACAACACGCAGGTTTGTTACATATGTATACATGTGCCATGTTGGTGTCCTGTACCCATTAACTCGTCATTTACATTAGGTATATCTCCTAATGCTATCCCTCCCCCCTGTCCCCTCCCCACAATAGGCCCTGGTGTGTGATATTCCCCTTCCTGTGTCCAAGTGATCTCATTGTTCAGTTCTCACCTATGAGTGAGAACATGCGGTGTTTGGTTTTCTGTTCTTGTGATAGTTTGCTGAGAATGATGGTTTCCAGCTGCATCTATGTCCCTACAAAGGA